GTAGTAAGTCATGGAGAAGAAATTAGATGATGCTTGGCTATCAAAAGACTAATGTCTGAGGCCTTAAAACTTGTCCTGAACAATCAGCCATATACAGGAGTCATCTATCAGCCTGTAAAGAAAAAGCACACCACCTAAGCATGACCAAAGGATTTTTAATAATCAGAGGAGATGTTTCATTGTGTTAACGCTTAAAATCTGAAACGCTTGGAATGTGGAAGGCTGAGGTTTGTGGTAGAGCCCTAACTGCATTTCATTTCTTAACATGGGTTCAGGTGTCATTTAAGCTCCTTCTAACCAACCACCATGTGGAGAGGTGAGTTGAGTTGAAGATGGATTACATACTGCTAGGAAGGGGCAGTTTGTTTGTGGTTTAGTGGTAAGGAGTTGTGCTGTCAACTCAAAGGCATGCGGTTCAAATCCACCAACTGCTCTGTGGGGGAAAGATGGGCAACTTCCTCCTGTGGGATTTACTGCCTCTGAAAACCCCCTAGAGGGTCAGGTATGAGTCAGTCAGTTGCTATGTGACAGTACATAACAACAATAACTTATATAAAGAGCCAGGGGATAGCTGCAGACTTATGAACGGATTAAGAGAATTGACCTGGGTGTTTCTTTAATGATTGATTCCCACGAATCATCTGACCCACACATATCCAGATGTCAGGAACCTCAGAATCAAACTTACATGATTTTTCAAGATGAAATGGTGTAAATATTCCAGTCATGGTCTTTTGCCTGATTGGGTAAATTCTACCTGCAATAGGGCTCTAAATCTTATAACTGAAAACCATACACTTGATTCAGCAGAAGACCTTCTGCATCATGTGATAGTTTTCCTCATTCTGCGATGATTTCTATTTTTGTCTTATCCTTGCCCTGTTTATGTCTTAAAAAAGAGTGGCTACAGAATATGTTTGAATCTGGGGAAGCTTTCCCCCCCCCTCCCATGTACGTCATATAAGTCAGATGGTAATAAGAAGTTAGAGGATTGTGATTGTTAACAATTTCAGATTGCTTGGTTCCACAATCAATACCTTTGGCACCAAAGTGCAGTCAGGAAAGCAAAACACAAATTGCATTAGGAAAATTTGCTGTCAGGGACCTCTGCCGTGTGCTGAAGGGAAATGATGTCAGTCTAGAGATTAAGGTGCACCTAATCCAGGTCATGGTATTCACAATTACTGCTGTGCATCAGAGAGCTGGACAATGACTAAAGATGACAAAAGAAGAATCTAAGCCTTTGAATTGTGGTGCTGGAAAAGAGTATTGAACATACCATGGACTGCAAAGAAAAGAAACAGATGTGTCTTAGAGAGGGTTGAAACCAACCTATTCCTTGGAAGCAAGGATTATGAGGCTGTCTCACATATTTTTGGCATGTTGCCATGAGGGACCAGTCCTTGGAGAAAGGCATCATGCTTGGAAGGGTGGAGGGACAGTGCAGGAGGCGAAGACCCTGGATGAGCGGACTGACATGGTTAAGTAGAGTAAAAAGGATAGATGTGTCAGAGACAGTGAGATTGGTTCAGGACAGGGCAGAGTTCAGAGCTGTTATACATACAGTCGCTGAGTCACAGTGGAGTCAGCGGCACATAATATCAATAACTTATAATCATTTTTTTCCATAGTCAGAAATATGGTTATTTATACTTATTTAAAAAAGGGGTATTACATTGGCTACAGAAGGTATGTGCTTTTCATCATTACTTTCTTTTTAGCAGTAAGAACCTTGTGCTATATTATTTTTGTATTTTAACATTAGCTCTTAATGTAGCATGAGTCTTTATATTATTTTGGTTTTAAGTTTAGCTCTTTATGTGGCATGTGTCTTTTTGGATTGCTTCTTCTTTTCCCTAATATTTATTTTTATAAAAGACTTAACTGAGAGAAGCACCACTCTGGGTTAGTCACTGAACTAAACTACGAGATGCCTTTCCTATTTAACATATGAGGAAAGAAACATAGAATTACTGAGCTTTCATACGTGACATTCATGAGATGATTGGGACTCATTCAATTCTTCTTTCTCTCTGCTCAGTACTCCTTCCATTGAGCAAAATATGTTCCTGGAAGTCTGAGACACGAAGATTGAGAAAAAGGGAAAAGAAAGCAGGCTGCTTGCTTCATCTGTGTTTTCTCTAATTACTCTATCAGTAGGTTTCAAACTTTAGCTCACACATGAATCATGTACACAGCTGGCTCCAAATTTCCAAGCCCTTTTTCTAGAGATTCAGAGTTAGCAGACCTGAGCTGGTGCTCAGGACACAGCATTTAAGTGTTGAAGTCGATCCTAAAGCAGGTGGTCTTAGGACCACACTGGAATAGACTAGAAGCAGGGAAATAGACTAGAATAGGGAAAGCAGGGACAGCACCTTCTCCCTGTTGCTAGTTGCCCAGACATAGAATGACTGAAGCTGTGACCACTTGAGAGCACGTCACCAGGCTTGTCTTCCAATGTCAATTCTAGATAGTTTGAACCTTTCTGTTAATGCTCTGTCAAGTACTTAACCATTTGTGCAACCCAGGGACCTTTATAAAGCTTTTCTACAGGTGGTGTTGGTGTTTCTGAGTTATTCAGTACCATCCTCGTCATTCCAGTGACATCTGTACTTGCCGTGCATACGACTGAACAAATGACCCTTCATGGCACCTTAAAGGGTTACAAGGGCTGCGTGACCTGGACCGCCACCACCCCGCAGTCGGCTTTGCGAGATAAGACCATCATCATGTGGACCAGGGATAAAACCAACTATAGAATCCCTCAACATGCTCTGTGTGGTCATTCCCACTTTGCTAGTCATGTGGTCATCTCCTCTGATGGCCAGTTTGCCCTTTCTGGTTCCTGGGATGGAACGCTACGGCTCTGGGATCTCACAACAGGCAGCGTCACATGCTGATTTGTAGGCCACACAAAGGATGTGCTGAGCATGGCCTTCTCCTCTGACAACTGCAGATGGTCTCAGGATCTACAGAGAAGACCAGCAAGCAGTGGAATACCCAGAATATCTGCAGGTACACTGTCCAGGGTGAGAGTCACTTGGAGTGGGTGTCTTGTGTCTGCTTCCCATCCAATAGCACCAATCCCATCCTTGTCTCCTGTGGCTGGGACAAGCTGGTCAATGTATGGAACTTGGCTAACTTCAGGCTGAAAACCAACTACAATGGCCATGCAGGCTACCTGAACACTGTAACCATCTCTCTGATGGATCCCTCTGTGCTTCTGGAGGCAAGGCTGGCCAGGCTATGCTTTGGAATCTCAATACAGGCAAGCACCTCTGTACTCTAGATGGTGAGGCCATCATAAGTGCCCTATGCTTCAGCCCTAAACATTACTGGCTCTGTGCTGCCAGAGGCCCCAGTATCCAGATTTAGGACATGGAGGGCAAGATCACTGGAGATGAAGCGAAGCAAGATGTTATCAGGAACAGCTGCAAAGCCATACCACCATGGTGCACCTCTCTGGCCTGGTCTGTTGATGGCCAGACTTCTTTTTGGCAGCTATATATGATAATTTGGTGCAAACGTGGGAAGTGGCCATTGGCACTCAATAGAAATTTATGGCACAATTTTAGAAATTAAAATCTGGCTTTAATTATTCAACATTGCAAAAACATGGAAACAGCCCAGATGTCCAACCACAAACAATTGGATTGAGAAGTTGCGGTACATTCATACAATGCAAGACTATGCAGCACGCAGGAGCAATGCTTTTATAAATTACTACCTAACTTGGGAGGGACTGGAGAGCATTATGGTGAGTGAACTAACTCAGTCCCACAAGGATAAATATTGTGTAAGACCATTATTGTATGATGGTCCAAGGGTGGGGGGAGGAGTGTGGAAATAGAGGGGTGAGGATGGGGGGGAGGGTATTAATCATAGGGTTGCATAATTCGATGGGTGGGGTGAAGGAAATGGGAAGGATCTTTTGTGAAAAACAATGTATTCAAACTTTGTAGATAAATCAGAGTTACATAAAAAAATAACAAAAAAAAAATTCTGGCTTTAAAAAACACCCCAAACAACAAAAAGCTCTTCCATAAAGTGATTCAGAAATACTTTTCAATTGTAAGGCTAGTAGTTTATCCTAGCCGAGGATGTTGCTAGTGTATAGGGCACCTTTGTGCAAACTTGAGGAAGGAACCTCTCTGGGGGAGGAAGCTAGAGCACAGCTGGATTGGGAGGGCACAGGTGAGATGTCCCACCACCCTCTCCTCCCCAGGAAGCTCTGATGCATAGCAGGCTGCCTGTCTCACTGGTAACAGAAAGGTTCTGGGGGTGAGGGGGAGTGTGGGTCAAATCCACCAGCTGCTCCATAGGAGGACAAGGCAGGCTGCTCTCATTCACCTCAGAAACCTGACAGTGAATTGGAACAAACCAAATGGCATTGGTTTGGTTTTGGGGCTTGGGCCCCCTCTTTGAGGCTGGCTGAGAGTCTTGTTCCCAGAGCACTCTGCACGTCTGTACGCCATGACGCTGACTGACCTCGGTCACCATTTGCCACTATGTCCTTTCCCCAGCGCAGGGCCTTTGGATTTAAAAAGCGAATTAAGCATTTGAGAGGCTCCCCTGGAGCTAATAAAAATTCCATTTAGATGAGGCTTGGCTTGGCTTCAGGTAACACTCTTTCTGTTTCAGACTAAACTACTATACTTAAAATTGAAAGTATTTTTGAATCACTTTGTGGAAGAGCTTTTTGTTGTTTGGGGTTTGTATTTAAAGCCAGATTTTTAAAAAAATTATTTTAAAACCTCAAGATTATCATTCAGAAAAAATTTACAAGGTTTGATAGAAAATTTGAGGTCAAAACAAATAAGGCTCACCAAGGTGGCCGTTCAAGAAGCAAAGACAGCATGGCTGGCCTGGCCCCTTCAATGGGGGAGGAGGGTATGAGCCACCTTCCCTTACTCAAACTGCTCTGACAGCACTAGAGCCTGTGGCACACTGTCTGGGCTCCCTCTGGCTCCCACAGTGGTCGGTCAATAGGTGAGTCTTACCTTCTGTTTTGATCCTCAGGGCTGTCCTGACCAGGGCAAAGAGGGTGGCATTGAACATGACCGTCCCATCGCTGTTCAGAGGCATGTTCATGGAGACCAGGCGCTGCAGGTGGAGGGAGGCAAAGCTGGTGATCACTGAAAACAGTTCTCACAGGCCCACAAAACCATGAGGAGGAGAGTACTGCGAGGGAGGCCCCCAATTCCTGTGTGTCTTGTGTGGCTGGATGTGTGTCAGGAGCAGGTAGGAAGCTTGGGCTCTCTAAATGTACTCCAAAACTTTTCTGGGAGGAACCTTGGTTTTGCATCATCTTACATACTCCCATGCTCTCCATAGAGTGAGGGAGGAACAGCATTTGTCCTCATTAGCCCTTCGATTCCGTGAAAGGTTATTAAACCCACTCAGTCCTCCTGCTCCAGTGCCTGCTATGGTCATGCGGCTGCTCCCTACTGGTAGCAAAGGACAGCTGCATGCCAGGCACTTGCTGGGAGCTCACTTGCCAGCTCGTGTTCACCAGCAGCCAGATAAGAGGAACAATAACGGGAGGTTTGCGTGCACATCGAATGCATACATTTCCTCTATATTTAAAACATACATGTGCACCATGGTGGAGCAGACACCAGCGGACACTAGGTAGTACTGTATTGCTTCCTTTTCTCCTTTCCTATCACCAACCTAAGCTTTCATTCTGCAAAGCTGTGGTCCCATCAGCACCCTCTGGGGTCATTATAAGAAAGAGCAGCATGGCATTCATTGTGGCATCTATCCTAAGATGTGGTCACAGATGGTCCTCATGGGACCACATGGTATCCTCCTGTTAACCTGAGTGCCCAGAAGGGTTACGCTTCTCCTGCGTGGCTGACTCCACATCACAGACAGTGTAAACTGTGCAACTGACACTGGGGCCACTGGGTCCCTTGTCAGATACCACAGGGCGTGTTTTAGCCCCATCGTGGTTGTGCTTGTCCCCACTCTAGCTTTTCGCTATGTTTTCAAAGCATTTTAAAACTTTGTTCTCCCTTTTCTTCTGCAGTTTCTACACTCTTACAGATCCAAGCTTTTCTTCAGGGGAAGCAGGGGAGCTGGCTGAGGCAAAGTGACCATGTACACTAGGAAAAGTAGGGTAAAAAGGAGCAAATGCAAAAACAAAGTTTTCTACACTTTCAAGCCTTCCACTTCTATGAGTGGTTTATCCAAGGAGAAGACTCTTCCTGCGCTTTGGGTCTCATCCTCTCTGACTTCAACTCCTTCCAACTGTTTCAGCTCATTACTGTTCCAGTGGGGGCACAGAGTGACCAGAATAGGGTGAAATGATGATTGGAAGGGAAGGGGAGACAGTGGAGAGGACATCCTTTAGTGACTGCTGGTCTCCAAGTCCACAATTAGAGTGACAGACCCAAGAGCACACATTTTTATTTGATTGTTTTTTTTTTCCTTTCTTGCTGTATACCACAGTGTCAGATTGACTGGCATAGGACATTGCCCCTTCTTCTCTAGCGGAGCATCTGGTGGATTCAAACCACATGCCTTTGGGATAGCCACACAATGTCTTGCCACTAGGCCATCAGAGCTCCCTCAAAAGCACACATTTTAAAGAGGTTCTAACCCCCAGGAACATGCAAATGCCATATGAGTTGAGTTGAATGGACATAAGGTATTTGCCTTAAGCTTTTTGGGATTCATGGACTCACATAGGCATCTGCTGGAAAGGAAAGGATCCCCTTCCTGGTAAAATTCATGTTTCAGTGATTGTGCTATAACTTTAGGGCTTCACAAATCCCTGAAGCTGATGATGCATCGGTTCTCTAATGGCCTTCTGATTCTAAGAAGAGAAGTCCTCCCAATGTCCTAGGTTGGGAAGTCTCTGAAGACGCTTGGGTGGCATCTTCTCTATTCTAGACGCAGGCTGATGGGGTAGCAAATCTCCACTCTGAGCAAGATGCAAGATCCTCTGTTCAGGACTGGGCACAGGGCTTGCTGGGATATGAGGCATTGACTTGTTCCTTCACATAATCTGAACACTCGGATCTATCAGCAACCTTCAAATATACCTGGGTTCAGCTCACTTTTCTCTAGACACTTAGAATATCGCCTCCATTCCCTAAAAGAATTAGTGGCTTGACCAAAGTCACAACACAAATAGGCATCTTGAGCATCTCGCCTCCCCTCTTGTCTCTTTTCCCCAGGAATTCAGGTCATTTCTTACTTTGCAAGCCACGCGGTGAGGACAGAGCTTCCCGAAACCTAGTGGGGGCTGAATCCGCCGGAGTAAGGTCACCACATCGAGATGCTTAATGCGACCCCTAGAAAAGCAAGGTCAGGAGGAAAGAGCAGTTAGAGGACAGTCCTGGACTCATGAATCTGAGAGGTGGAGCCCGTCTACCCACAGGGGATACTCTGTAAACTGTAGTCTGCAAGACATACTTGGTGCCGAGTTGTAGAACTGCATGGTACAAGAAAATAACATACTTAATATTGATGAATAATTTTCTATCAGTGCTACGTTCAAGATAGAAAGGATTTCTGTAGGGCATTATGATTCTCATCATGTATTTCTGTTTCAATCAACTACCATATACATATGAGCAAGAGGTACTGACTGTCAATCAAACGTGGTTGATTGATGAAGGTATCCTTAGAACACAGGCAGGAATAGAACAAAGATGTATCTTGTCCTAAATGTCATAACTTAAGTTGTTCAATAGTCATTCCTGACATTAAGGTCTGTTATCCACTGAAGATAACCATTATGGTTAGTGACTTTGCCAAAGGTGTCCAATTGTTTATTGTTAGACACTTGACCTTGTTGTTGATTCGGTGTTTCTAATTGATCCACCCAGTGCTGGCCCTTCTTGCACCCTCCTTACAGGTAGAGATACTTGATCACTTAATCCAAATTTCCTTCTGAGAACTTACTTGGCTTCAGGGTCATATTCTGCCCAGATCCTTTTAAATTCATCTAGATGATGGGGACCAAGGATGGACCAGTCCCTTGTCAGGTAGTCAAAGTTGTCCATGATGACGGCTACAAAGAGGTTGATGATCTGCAGAGAGCAGAGGGTATGATCAGCTTCTCTAAGAGGACGCTCAGACTCTTGAGTCTCAGTTACTTGAATCCATTTTGCTAACTGGTACTCATGTATGGAAAAAGTCAGTATTTCCAAAGACCAGCCATACATCACTATTTAAAACACTAGGTCCTGGAACCTGTGTCTCTTGGATAGAAATGTGATGCACGACCTCGTAGTTATTTAGGATGAACATCACTTGGAGGCAGGGTAACTTCCCTCCCACTAAGCTGCTGAGCAATGCTACTGAGGAGAGGAGGCAAATTCCATCTACCATATTCCCCTCCTATAGAGAATGTGCATTCTCTCCTTGCCTCAGCACACATTCCTCTGGCCTGCTGGACAGTGCTACCATGGCAAAGACCAAAGAATGGACAATGCAGGCGGTGAGTGGACTTCCTGAGCTCTGGCCAGAGTTTTCTGCCATTGTCTCCAGGTGGCTGGACAATCCTACTGCCTTAATTTGCTCAAACCAGCTCCCTGGACAGGTTTACCCCTAATGTGAATGTCAGTGAAAAGGGCTGAAGCTGTCCTGAACCTGCATCCTCACGCCCTGTGGCTGACGGCTCCCATCGTGGCTCACCAGGAAGGCACAGAGCATGTAGAAGCTGATGAAGTAGAAGACAGCGAAGCTGCTGCCACAGGGTGTTTCCCCTTCTGTGCTGTTGCTGGGCTCAGACTCTGGGGCACACTTCTTGCCTGGCATGCAGGCTAGCATGATGTCCTGCCAAGCCTCCCCCGTGGCACACCTGGGGGAGAAAGTGAGAGAGTGAACACCAAAGTAAGCAATCTCACCTGACTAGAACAATGGGAGCATATTCGGAACTCTTCTCTTTTCTCTTACTAAATTGACTTTGGTCCTTGTTGCTCCTTGAATATTTTAGTACATTAGCACTTTCTTGAAATTTTATACCAAAGGTAATAGATTATACTTTTTCTGTAAACCTGCTCCTTCTGTAATCCACATTACATTTTTGAGAGTTAGCCATTTTAATACATTTGGGAGTTTGGTCCTAAAGGAGAGAGCAGAACTGGCCTATAGAGTTTCCAAGGCTGTACATATTTACAGTTATCTCTCTCTCTCTCTCTCCCCCATATTTATCTATTTATAGTAGTCTATCTATTTATAGTCTATCTATCTTACTATCTATCATCTATTCATAGTCTATCATCTATTTATAGTCTATCATCTATCAATCATCTATTATCTCTCTCTCTCCCATATTTATCTATTTATAGTAGTCCATTTACAGTCTATCTTACTATCATCTATTTATAGTCTATTATCTATCTATCTACCTATCAATCATCTATTTTCTTCTTTCCTTCCTTCCTTCCTTCCTTCCTTCCTTCCTCTTGTGGAATGGTTGATAAATTAAAATCACTGACCTCCTCTTAAAAACCCAATGCTCAATCCACTAGGGCTACCATTAGGGCTCTTTGTATGTAGCTATAGATAACCCATTTTAACTGTTATAAAGGTGAATATTCTATGATTATTCTATGAATATTATTGTTGTTGTTGTTAGGGATGTCGAGTCTATTTGAACAACAGCTCTGAACCTTTCACACAGTGCCATTCTCACACTTTCTGACGCACTTGATCCTGTAGTGCAGCAGTCGCTGTGTCAATCCATCGGTGAAGGGTTTTCCTCTCTTTCACTGACCCTCCACCTTTCTAAGCACGATGTCCCTCTCCAAGGACTAGCCTCTCCAAGCAACATAGCTGAATTACTGAGATGAAGCTTTATCATCTTTGCCCCCACATAGCACTCTAGCTACACTTTCTTCAATAATATTTGTTCTTTTGGCCATCCATGGAATATTCCATGCTCTTCTCTAACATTACAGCTCAAAGGCATCAATTCTTCTTCTGTCATCCTTATTCACTGTCCAGCTCTCAGATGCATAGAAAATGATCAGAAAGACTGTCCTGAATCACGTGCACCTTACTTCTCAAACTGACATCTCAATAATTTGGAAAGGTCACTGACTGTAGACTTTCCAAGTGCATTACATCTCCTGGTTTCCTGACTGCTGCTACCAAAGATGTTTACTGTGTGGATCCAAGTAAGATGAAGTTGTTTATAGTTTCAATCTTTTCTCTATCATGATGTTGCCTCTTGGTCCAGTGGTAAGGATTTTTGTTTTCTTGATATTGAGATGCAATCCATCCTGAAGGTTGTATTATTCGATCTTCTGCAACAAGTATTTAAAGTTCTCTACATTTTCAGAAAGCAAGATTGTGTCTTCTGCAAAAGGAAGATTATTGATGAGTCTTCCTCTGATTCTGATGCCACAATCTTTTCATAAAGTCTAGATTCTTGAATAATTTGCTCAGCATACAGATAGAATTGGTATGAAGAGAGGAGACAGCTCTGAAGCACTCCTTTCTTAATTTTAAACCATGCAGTATTCCCTTCCCATGGCAATGCGCCTTTTAATTTCCTGGCTGCTGGTGCCAAGACTGTTGACTATGGAGCCAAGCAAACTAAAGCTGTGTACAATCTCAAT